ACAAGATTTAATTAGTATTTTCTGGTTGGATTTATAAAATTTCTTGTTACATTAATTTCTTTGCTTGCTTCTTAACTTAACTCTACTTAACGTATTCAACATTTGCCATAAAATGTATAAGAACCAGAAAATTTGATAAATGTAACAGGAAGAAATTAATCAGATTCATCTGATAATTCCTACAAGAATTCTGGCTCGTCCATTTTCCAACAGACATACTGGTTGAATCTACCAAAATTCTAATTAATGCAACCAGATTTTTTTCTCAGTATAGGATTGTTATTTTCGTGGTGATCTTTTAAATACATCACCTCAATCTGCGTCTCGTTTTTTATTATACCTCGCGATAGCTTCATCAGCGAACTCTTATTTCGAAAATCAGTAATAATAACTTATTAGCTCTTTTTACTAATTATGCCATTTGCAGGATGAAATTTCCGATATCGTTGGATTAATGTTTAAAAAATGTATAGTTGGAGAATCTACTGGTTCGCGCGTATCAACGATGATGGAGTCCATCGTCGATTACGTTCGCGAGGCGAGGGATTAATCGGAAATTAATTCGCCCCGCGCTCGAAACTTTGCCGAGGACACGGACTCCATTATCACGGCGGACTGCTTTCGGTCCACCTCGTATATATGCCGCGAGACACGAACGTGGCACCTCGTTTCGATGTAAATTGAAAACGGATGACAATTACGGGTTGGCGCGACCGCGAGTATAATCGCGGAATTAATCGGCTTCGCTCGCTCAATAGAAATATCGCCGAGTTCCGTGTTTGATCTTTTTCCTTTTTTCCTCCTTTCCTTTTTGTCGGCGCGCGCCTCGCTGTCGGGATTAACCCCTCGCGCGAGAAGCCCCTCGGAAGCATCTTTCCACCTTTTCCCATTCGTTACCGTTTGCCCTGTAAATACAGCATTTTCTGAAAAGCGTTTGCTGAAAAGCATCGGCCAGATTTAATAAGCTTTCGCGTACTCTTCGTTAGGATTTTAACGAAGCTTTCATCCGGCGTGATGGAAGCCTCCTCGACGATCCCCGAGAGTCGAGTGTATCTACGATTTTTTTTTTATTACGAATCGTATAATACCTCGGTTATTGCATATATATATATATATATATATATATATATATATATATTATAGCAAAGAATTGTATATAAAGTTTGCGCGCTCCGTCTTTGACTTTTACGACCATTACGACGGACGTGGGTTCCGATGTGAACAAAGTTCTTTGTAGATTTGCTTTCGGCCAATTAACGTCGTCGAAGAAAGCCGAGCGTTTGTCACAACCGAGACAATTCCCGAGGCGCATTTTGAAATTATTATCGGACGAGGAGAGTTCTTGTTTTGTTAACAAATTATTCTCGAAAGTTACGGTACGGAGGAATGCCATGTCTCGCGAGTCTCGAAATTAGTATGCTTGTTTGCGCGGAATGGGATCAACTACATGAACATTAAAGAAGCGCTCTTTTATAAGACCTTTGCATTCATCGGAATTCCAGACGAGCCATTTAGACGACGGCTTTCTCCGCCATCTCGTTAGATTTGTATTAAAGTTTGCAAGTCCTATTATTTAGCCGCGGATTTATGTATCGTCAAGGATCTCTCTCCCCTTTTCTGTGGAATTTATTTTTTTTTTAATATACATTATAATTTCGAAATATAAATCATCTTTCCTCTTCAGGTGCGCGCGCGTTTCTCGTATAGAATAATAATTTTACAATATTCAAAATATCACCGTGGGCTTTTTTTGTGCGCGAGTCTCGATGAAATGACGAAGAGCATTCGCGGGGTGATCGATCGAGGGAATATCTCGCCCGCGGCGACGTGCTGGATAGCTCGTCGTCCTGATGAAATCCCCGAGAGCTCTTTTCATGCTAATAAGATTTCGCCGGTCGCGCCCAATGGATACGCGCCAAAGCGCGAGGGAAAGGACTGTCGTCGACGTCGTCGTCGACCGTGTTCGGTACGGATGAAACACCGAGAGAAAGAGAAACGTACAAAGAGAAGTGCGCGTCTCCGAACACCTTTTGTCGACGCTTTAATTCGATATTTCGAGCGCGATGCGCGATACCATGGGTGAGAAAAATAACGACTTTCTCCTTGGACGGGGGTTTTAAAGGACATGCGTGATCCACCCGGATATTCATTTTAATTTCCGATACGTTTTGCCGCAAAAATACTTAAGGATGTGTATTTTTCTATTTTCAAAATATTGAGAATTTAATGAAAATTGTACAGAATGTCCTTACATATGTTTAGAATCTTCAGTACAATTTTTAAATCGATTCACTAAAGCGTTCACAAGTTGTAAGGATTTTAATTTGCACCGAATTAACATGTGTTCTTATGGAAATGTATAACCACGTCGATTCAAATGACAAAAACACATAGAAATAATATTCAGAATTTGTTTAAAATTTCCAAAAGTTTAGATACAGAGGAAATATTTTGTCAAATAATATATTATACAAGTACTAACTGGTTAAAAAGATATTAAATATAATTCATGTATCTGTCAGAAGGCGAAATTCTCTGCCAAAAGTTAATTCGACTAACAAAATTCGGAATATTTCAGTAAAAACGCAATAAATATTAAAAAATACATCTCTGCACTGTAGCTAAGATCAAATTATAATGTTCCACGCAATTTTTCATACTCAAAATACACCAAAAGTGGATATTCGTATAATATTCGAGAAATTGAGAAAAATGTATAGTTTTGAACTTATTTTTTGATCAATAATCCTAATGAATTGATATTGATTTGGAAATCTTGACAAGTGGAAAATATTAATGACACTTGTTGCAACTTTTAATTTTACATTTGATTAATGCTTAGAATATGTATCATTTATACATTCATAACATACACATAACGAAAAATTAAGGACGTTTTGTACCTATTTTCAAAATATTGAGAATTTAATGAAAATTGTACAGAATCCTTACATATGTTTAGAATCTTCAGTTCAATTTTTAAATCGATTCACTAAAGCGTTCACAAGTTATAAGGATTTTAATTTGCACCGAATTAACATGTGTTCTTATGGAAACGTATAACCACGTCGATTCAAATGACAAAAACACATGGAAATAATATTCAGAATTTGTTTAAAATTTGCACAAGTTTAGATACAGAGGAAATATTTGGTCAAATAATATTATACAAGTACTAACTGGTTAAAAAAATATTAAATATAATTCATGTATCTGTTAGAAGGCGAAATTCTCTGCCAAAAGTTAATTCGACTAACAAAATTCGGAATATTTCAATAAAAACGCAATAAATATTAAAAAATACATCTCTGCACTGTAGCTAAAATCAAATTATAATATTCCACACAATTTCTTACTCAAAATATATCAAAAGTGGATATATTCGTCAATATTAATTTTCATCTACTTTTTGTTGGGATTGTACATAAAAATATCCTTAAATAAATGCACCTAATCAAAACTGAAATAGAATATATTAGGACGATGTGCGAAAAAATTCTTATCTATTAATTATTAAATCAAGAATACCAGAAATGGAGGAATGCGTTTATTGCACGTACCGTCCGATATTTTCCTGTAATCCATGGAGGCTTTATCGCAAACTTGTGCTAGTAAATCCGCGTCTTCCTTGATGAATGCTGGTGCCGGTGGTATCGCGCGCATACTGCATACGCGATCGCATCCCATTTCGACTAGCATGCATTGTCGTGTTAAATGGAAACTGCCAACGACGCGCGTTGGTCTCTGGTGAATTCGACGAAATGCGCCGTCCGTTCGTACGATCGATCTGAAGGTATTGTCCGGCGAGGAAAGTCGAGAAATGAGGAAAATGATAAACGAGAATTGTGGGAACGATTCCACGATATTGCGAGACGTTCGACGCATTCTCGGCCGTTGTAAAATGATAAATTAAATCAGAGTTGTTTAAATGTGCACCGGCTACCAGATTATAAGTTCTTCGACGTTGGCCGCGTAATGTTATTAATCCTGAGCGCTACAAAGTATTTTACATAAATGAATAAGACATCGATTCTTTCTCCACTTGGGAGAGAAGTTTGAAATTGTTTTACGAATGAAGATCCAAAAAGAATTCAAAATATGGAAATTAATGCGTAAGAGAGCCATTTTTTACGAAACTGTTGCTCGTGTACCTGTTAAAACAACTATTTTGTATACTAATTAATTTAAATATTTTGAAGGATCCAAAATTTTTATATCGATAAAACGTTGACTTCTATAAAAATTCGGCGCTCTTTTATTTGAAAAAAATTACAACATAAAATATAACTGTTTTATTAAATTTGTGGAACATTTTCAAATAAGGTATCTTGAATTTTGTTTATATTTCATTTCGTGTAATATTAAATCAAGATATGTCGGTGCACGCTATATATCTCGAGTTTAGTCCCAGATTTTTCTCGGGCAAGGTAACGCTGTTACCTTTTTCCGTCGCGAGAGAAGAGCACTTTATGTCGTTATTGAACAAACAACGATATGTACTTAATACTCGTTCACGAAAGCGTGACTGTTTGCGCGTATGCGCGCTCAATACAAACTCTCTATATGTGCTGCCTATATGTTTATCCACTGGGACCAGCATAACATATCGATCCGATATCGAACACTCGCGCAGTATATAATTTATCTTCGTTAGTTGCCAATGTCTCTATCTACAATTTACAGATATATTTCTGGATGATTTGTTACACGAAAAAGAAAGACTAGAGAGAGAGACTACAAATATTATATAACACATACACGCGCAAGATATAATTTAATTCGCAACCTAAAAAGATGAGATTCTTTTCTATCATTTGGTTTTACATAATTTATTTTTTTCTCTCGGAAATTTTGCTTGAAAGTGGAAGGACGAAGGGATGCTCCCTTCGTTCTACATCGGTATCTTCAATTTCACGAATGTTACGTCCATATCACGTTCGCCGAATCCCCTTCGAATCACCGCACGTTCCCTCACGTGTCGCGAATTTCTGCTGTTACAGACGGAGCTGTCGCAGAATTTGCAGCAGCTGTCGGAGAGAGCCCGCTCGACGACGGAGTTCATTCAAAGGCTCAAAGGAATGACGGACAAAGTGCATGTGAGTATACCGCGCCTTTGACGTCCGTTTTAAATTCCGTGTCGGCGGACATGTCACGCGGTACGGTGCCGTAAAATTGCGAAAAAATATGGCGTTAATTATATCAGTCCTCCGATGCCGGTGGGGGGATTCGTTTCCGATGGCCGAGGGGGTAATTCGGATGCGCAAAAAACACCCGCACGGCTTATCTTACATTCGCGGAACAAAAGCTGACAGATGAAATTTCGTTTGATATCAGCGTCTATTTTTCACCCGCTTGTACTTTGCTAAGCGGAATAATCAATTCGATATCGCGTTTCTCGTTCGTGATATTTTTTTTTGCGCAAACCTTTCTTCTAGATTCATACATTCATCATTGATATAAAAAGTGCGATGCCTTTATTTGAAGATTAATTTTCTGAAACGGATTCGGAAATAAATTTTTATAGACAGCTATTCTCCGATAAAAAATTGTGTCTTTACAATGATTCTGACGCGACAAACTAGAGATAGAAAAAAAGGAGCTTTGCGAAAACGATATATCTCTCACTGAATATATCGATCGGAGCAGGAAATGTAATTTTTTTTTATCTACAATCTATCTCTCATCTCTTTTTTTTACCGGATGAGCTATTTCCCGATATTATAATCGAGCGGACCAACCCTTTTCGCAGGAGGAATGCATGGTGCTCGAGGGAGAGGTCGAGGATCGGGTGGCGAACCTGGTGAGTCTCCTGCAGGCGAGAAAGTCGCGACTGATCGAGGCCGCTCGACAGACCCGCGAGGCCAGGGTGCGTTCGTTGCGTGACCAGGTGGCCAGATGCGCCACGCACCTGCAGACGACCACGGCGCTGCTCACCTTCTGCATCGAGGCGCTGAAGGAGACGGACAGCGCGGCCTTCCTGCAGATTGGCGGGATGTTGTCGGTGCGAGCGGCGACCGCCGCCGGCTCCTGGGGCGGCGCCGAGGGTGTACAGGAGATTGCTCGTCTGCCATTGCTGGATCTCACCCTGGACGACAAACCGCTGCGTCGTGCCATCGATCAACTCACCTTCGTCCAGCTGAAACGTGAGTACGCCACACTGGATAGATGCAATTTGTGTGTAGATTGAGTTTTTTTCCGAACGCCGGTCCCATTCGCGGTGATGCGTGCGGTCGAAAATAAATTTATCTATTTTTTTTTATTTCCCGATTTTTTAGATGCTAACTTATAACACGAGACAATTAAATAACGTGGATATTTTTTTTTTGTATTTGAAACGAACGAGCCCTTTGCATGCTATACTTATTCGCGTTTGATTTTTATAAAACGTTATTGTATTTTAATAAATTTACAGCCTCTCGTGCGCGATCGATTTTATCGAATCTGTTACTTTTTACAACTCGTATAAAAAAACTTTTCGGTTTAACTAGCAAAACTTGATTATTTACGTTAGTAATTTTGCTGAACACGAGACTTTGGAAGTCTTAATTAATTGCTTGGAAGTTTAGTCGAAGCACGATATCTTAGGATCTATCGCGTTTAGAAAGAAAGTTACTCGGGAGTCAACGATATTTAACGTGAGAATCGTTAAATAATTTTGTTACAGAAACGATAAGTACATAATACTTTGACTCATTCCTTCTATGCTCGTTAAAAGTGTCTACAATAAAATCTTGCAATCTAGCGTTATAAATAACATTATCATTCAAAATTAGATGTTTAAAAATTGTCTAGAAAAGAAATCTTCATTCAAAATTATCATTCAAAATTAGATGCTTAAAAATTATCATTCAAAATTATCATTCAAAATTAGATGCTTGAAAATTGTCTAGAAGAGAAATCTTCAAAATATAAAATCTCTAATTTTTTAAATATTATATATTTCTCGGTCAGATATATTTTATAATAACGTAAATATTTCGTAAAAGTCTCAACTTGGAATCCACTGTAGTGGCTTGAATAAATTAGATATCCTTCCATCACGAGACCACTCGCGGAAACATCTCGTTGGCTCCTTGAAATTCATCCATCTGGTTCGTTGCCCGAACTGGATTGTTCATCGTGGTTCATCGAATCCTATAGTTCGCGTGGCGTATGTATGTGTCTAGAGTAAAGCATCGGACCTAAACTCATTCGAAAGACGTCTTCGTACACGCTTAATTGACTCGTAACTCCTCGTTTTCACGACTACACCGGGATTTCGTGGGGGCGATTTATCTTTGCAGCACCGAGCTGATCGCGCAACTTTGTGCTTTGCACGAGTCTTGCTCGCTGATAGTCGTTTTATCTTTCAAATGGACGAAACGAGAGTTCCACATGCTAGTGCAATTTCGATTATCTCGTTACGTATATCCTCGGAAAACGACTGACGCGATGGCTAATTGAATTCACGTATGTGGATAGATTAAATAATAATTTTTTAAATAAATTTTATACGCGCTCGTTTATTAATCGACTTGAAAAATATCGGAATTAAAGTAATAATTACGTAAGAGATGTAATTTTACGCGACGTGATAAATGATCGCTTGGATTAACGAGAGAAAAAAAACGAAAATATTCGAGTGAAAACGACTTTCGAACGAGTTTCATTTTGACGTTGTGCTTGCATGCGTAAGTAAATATAAATATCTTTACACCGATTACAAATCGCTCTATTGTTGGACGCAGCGTCAGAGGGGGAGGAACGATTTCCAACAGCAGGTAAAGAAAAAAAATCCAGACACGGGAGATGCGACTAGACATCGATTACAGTAGCGACAACAGAATCAAAAAGGAAAAATGAGAAAGAAAAATAGTAATTAAGAAAGATGAAGGAGGCGTCGATCTTATCCACCCGAGTCGTCTAGACGAGGATCAAGGACAAGGGGGGGAAGAGGGAAATCGCTTAATAATTTTACGTAGCCCCCGGGAACGGCTCCTTTCAAGCGTGCCTCCTCGCTCGCCGTCAGCCTTGCCTACGCTAAAACGTTTCAAAAGCGGATTAATTAGGTACCGGCTTTGCAGTAACTGCCGTAACGATCGAGGTATTAACTCGTTACAAGGAGACATCCTCTACATCCTTTCCGCGTTCGCCAAGGATACGCATCTCTCCGGGTCTTAGATGCCCGATGTCGGGTCGGGAAATGTTAATCGCGTCTGATTAACGTGTTTACGGATGTACGGATAACTTAATAATGCTAGGACGTAGAGGAAATCGCGTTAAGAGGTAGACATGGCTCGATTCATTCGTGTGGTAAATAAAATTATCGATTTCGTCGACTCGATTTTACTTGGATGGAATTAACTCGTGAAATTGATCAAAGCCCTCGCGGTTGAAATTAAAGGACGCGGAAGATACTCGGGGAAGCTCGTTTCTGTTTGCTCATTATATCTTAACGGATTTGCAACCGCGTCAGGATTTCTAATCAGGACTAGCCTCCCGAGAAGGAGAGGAGTTAATGAAATACAAATCTATTTAACGAAACTCGATAAATGATTACGAGGTCGAGGAAAGCGCGACTTTGCTGGCTTCTCTATCAGGACATTTAATTCTCGGGCGATCTTGATACAAATCGGGTATATACGGAGGGTAATACCAGAAAGTTTCTTCATTACGCGCAGTTTACTCGTCAAAGAGCAGCGCGTCTCAGTTTGTTAAAATCCGCGATACTTGATTGGCAGTCACACGGAATTTCATTTACTTAACCCGGCTTTGCAAATAGCAAAGCGAGGAATGTGCCCCGCGGAAACTTCCAAGTTCGTCGGGATTTCGCGCAAAGTTTGCGACGAAATCGTTCAGGCGAAAATTTCCGGAATCTAACGAATGTAATATATTGGAGAAAAGTATGTATATGCATATATATCTTTGACATTGTTGCTCGACTTTCTTTTTTTTTTTCTTTAAATTTCGAGCTTGTGTTTCGCAACCATCACTCTAGTACCATAGATCACTCTTTCAATAGATTTTATATTGTAAATTTATATTAATAAATAAAAAGATTATATATTAATAAATAATTGTTGAAAATAAAATAATGAGGAGAATGAGGACAAAATAAATAACTTATCAATAATTTTTAAAAGTATTTTGCGTCGAGTTTAATGATTCAAAAATCTGCAAATGTGCAAATGCTGCAATAACAGCTGCAACGCGAGAAATTAAATTATCGACCCTCAGCACGGTTATAGGGATGACGAACGATAGGCAAGGCAAAAATGCGAAATTCATTTATCGTTATTTGCGCGCGCTCGATCTGCGATTTCGATCTTTTATCAAAAGCCTGGAACGAACATCGAAAGTCGACGATTTTTTATTATCATGATTTGGAGCAGGAACAGCAATCGACGCGGTAAAACTCTGTAACAAGTGCCTCGTTTTCTTAAATTTCAATTTTATTGCGGTGTTTGATCCGGTAATTCGACTTTTACGACACGAGAAATTGCGGAATTTTTCGGGACACCGCTAAATCTTATTGTTATCTGCTTTCGCGATTATAGAAACGATCGAACCGTCGTATCATGGAGCTAAAAGTTTGTCACTGTCGGAAATTCATGCGTCTTATCAGCTTCAGTTTTATAACGCGATGCAATCACGAGCATGAATAATTATTGTCCAATAAAATATTATGATGATGCTAATGCATGTATGTAACGGCACAAATGGAAAACGAAGAATTTATCGTATTTATCGCATCTCAACTTCAAAAAAAAAAAGAAGACAGACAGATAGCGTTATTTCCTGTAAAGTCATTTTTTTATTCATTTTATTAAACTCTTAATGAAAAAAATTTGCCTGAGTCAACGTGTATATTTCTGATTTATATACTTGATCTTCCTAAGTTTCTTTCTATGAACAGGAAATAGAGAACGAATCTGTCCCGACATCGGGCGGAAAATTAAACGCACGCTTGTCGCAGACGAGGCTGATGACCGTACAATGCGACGTTAATGTCCTGTACGTACGTCTCGTTGAGATAACACGCGAGTAAACAGGGATTTTACCTCCTCGCTGGCAGATTAATTCGCTCATTAATTTATGCGACGTCGCAATCACGCTTCATCGTCAACGCCACTGATCGCTTTTAATAACGATTCCCTCAGAGTTCATATCATATATTGATTGAAATAATAATTTATAGTAGTTTATATATTTTTAGAAAAATAGTTTGATTAAGCTCTTCTACATTCAATAAAATAAATAATATTTGTGTATAATAATAATATTTATTTAGAAATATTTTATTAAAAAGAAACAACAAAAAATCACTTATTATCATATTTATGAAAAAGTAAAAATTAATAAGCATCACGAATCTCAATTCAAACTGTATTAAATTTCTCTTTTCTTTCATTTTATTAACTTTTACCACGGCTGCTCGACAGGAGAGCATCAATCTATAACGTTGCAAACTCGAGGAAGAGGAGTTATCGTATCATATCGAACCGAATCGAAACTATAGTCGACGGACTTTCAGGAGTCTAGGAGAGCTAAGAAGCTTCTCTCAAACGAGATCAGTTGTCTCGCGTCAGAAACGGAAGTGTCGAAGCGAACGTGATTGTTACTTTTGCGTCGACGGTGAAGCGTGAAAGATCGTCTTCGGCGGGGAAGTTCCTCAAGATCACGGCCGGCTCTCGCGAGAAGACCATTTTTCGCGACGTCGGGAGCCGTCCATCCTCCGTGAAGTTTATTTTCATCTGTCGGCAAGTTTTATCAACGAGATATATATATATTTTGCGCGTGATACATTTTAACAGGCTATCGGCGCGCTCGCGCTCCTCTCCCTCTCTCCCTCTCTCTCTCTCTTTGCTCGTATCCGCCCTTATCGATGCACCCTTTTTCCGCGTTTTTCTCACAAAGAGAACAGAATGAATGAGAGAAAGAGAGAAAGGGTGACGGGGTCTATACGGATATCGGGTATCAGCGCGACGCGTCTCGCGTCGTTCGATAAATCACTCCGATATGGGCATAAAGTTTCGCTGGCGTGTCGATTCACGTCGGACCCATTACAAAACTGTAAAAGGGGTGGCCGTAATAAAGAGAGACAGAGAGAGAGGGAGAGAGAGAGGGAGAGAATTTTTTTTAGCCGCAACCCTTTCGTTGTTTC